ATGGTATAGATTATTTCAATGTACAATAAGATTTTCTTTCCTTGTTACATGTCAAGAAACACGCTGCTTCTTTTCTAGATTGTTGAAATCACCACTGTTTGTAAAAATACAGATGTAATTTTTCTTTAAGTCGGTTTGAAATGAAAAAGATCATAGACTCCACAATGCCGATATAATCAGAAACATCTCGATTAAATTCTTTTTATATAAAAAATATTTACGATGTATTGTCGTTCTATTTTAATTAGTTACTATTTGCAAGAACTAATTATGCTATTATCTCTAAATCAAATTGTTAGTAACTTAAGATATATTTAAAAATGTTATATTTCTTTTTTGTTATATAACTGAATTAACTAGATTTCTATTAAAGCAATAGTATCTCAAACATTGTGGTATGATAAGTTGGGTAAAGCAGAATACCATGTTATAGTATGATTGTTCAACAAATCATCAGTTGATGCATAATCAAAGTCAACTATAACAATATATTAATTATTTTCAAACAACATGAAGTATCATTAGAACATATCACGCCATTGACTAAAGGATATAAGCAAGTATTTGCACTTTTCAGACTGAGTTAATAGAAATAGTTCTCTCTTTAATTTTAGTTTAGTTACAGGTCAGTGCACCATTCGATGTGAATGAATAGAAAAGTTGTACTGAAGCATCAAACGATTTCTGTATCAATTTCTGAGAAGGAATAATCTACTTATCCGTAATTTATTGTCTGAATGAATAAATGAACGTGAAACAACACGGGATAAGAAAAAAGAAGATGAAAAAGAAAAAAGAAAAAATGAACGATAGAAAGAGACATCGTGAGATAAAGTGAACAGATGAACATTTGTTATCCTTCACTAGTGACTTTGATCAGACATGTGAAAAAAGATGAATACTCTTACAGTATCAAAAGCATGAATATCTAGTGTTATTTCAATCGAGTTTTTTCCCAAGAAACTAATCATGAAAAGGGGCTGATCAATCATAAATAAACGAAAGAAATTAATCGTGTAAAATATTGATTACTACAAATTAGTTCCATTTCTTTTTGCATTGTTACTACTTATTAAGACACGAATCCTATAGTTTTTCTCCCAAAATTAAAAAATTGATTAAGAGGTCACATTTTCTTTCTTCGAATCAAGTCAATAAATCGCTTGAGTTTTGTTGAATCTAAAGTGAATAAACGATGCATATAATCACATGAAAATACAGACCTTTATTACTCATGACAATAATCTTGAGCTCTTTATATTCAATGATATTTAGTTAGATTTTATCAAAAATAAATGACATTCGAAAATAGATATTCTAACCAATTTAAGATGCAATACTTACTTTCGTTGCAAATCTATGAGACATTTAGTCATTCTGAATTACTCAAATATTCGTCTGGTGAGAGAATTAATTTTTTTTCTTTTATCAACTAGATATCATATCTATTGATTGACCACAGAAAATGCTAAGTATGGTATAAGATTGGCTATAGTTTTTAATAAATGCGGAAACTTCGGATTTAAATCCGAGAGTTATGTGTACTTCAAAAAG